AAAGAGCAATTATTATCAATAATTCTGCAATGATTTATCGTTTCGTCATAGTCAGTGAATAAATTATTGCCGTAATGTTCCATTACCTATTTATGGATTATAGATAACACTGTCTTGTATAAAATTAAATCCGTGACAGTCAATACCAAAGGTTCAAATAATATCAATAATTTGGCAATGATTTGTTTTTGTTTATGGCTTGACCGCAAGAAATTGTTTTATTAAATGGTAGATACAAATGCAATTCAAGTAGAGCTAATTTGTACCTACCAGGACTCTAAAGCTATTGAAGTCAGGCTAACGAAAGTTGTTCCTGTTCTAATCACGTCCAGATCGCGCAAGTACTAAACCATGGAAGAAAAAATGTTCTGTGTACTGAACGCACGCAGACAATCAAAGCGCCAAAAATTTACATAAATTGTAAAATACTTTAGGCCCAAAAAAGTCATACTCGCGAAATTTCTTTTGTTAAGTATCTACTGTATAAAACGCATAGATACAGGTACCAGTCTACAGTCGTTTTCCGCTTATTGCGACCGTAACCGCAAATCTAATCTGCAAAAAAATTAGTCTTACTTAGGCTGCTACCAAAAGAAACGGATGCGCGATGTTGATATATGTATACTCGTACTACATTTGCATGCAGCCGAAACGGCCTGCATGCAGCCGAAACGGCCTGCATGCAGCCGAAACGGCCTGCATGCAGTCGACACTGATGTCGAAATGGAAGCACATATATGTCACTTGTAGCCATTGGTTCCACCATCGATCAAACGCCGGCTAAATAAATCCACCCCCGGGTCTGCAAGGGGCACGCGGGGTGTTGGGGGGTCACGCGAATGACGGAATTCGCGATTCTCGCCGCGCGCGCGTTGGGCACTGCGACTCGGAACGACGGCGGAACGAATTGTGCGCGCGAGTACCTACTTTCTTTTTAATACAATAAGTGTAATACAGTTCGCTAGTTTTATTCAACTGGATACCCCTTGTAAGCGATAGGGCTCTAGTTCCCACTATATGGTCCTTCGAGCAAAAATTCCGAACGAGCGTTCTTAAGAGAAGAAAGAAAACCATCATCAAGGAAGTTTCTTCAATTCAAACTACCAACAACGGAGTGCGCCGTTCCACCCGTCCACAGTCAAGAGAAGCTCTTCTATTGCAGCTCTTACTGCTTGCAATTCAAGCTTCCAACAGTCCGTCTTCAAGTGGATTGCCATCGTCAAAGAATCATCGATTATCGTAACTTACAAAGTTCAGCATAATTTGGAACAGAATCATCGATTATTGTGAACTGCATACACGAAGCTCAGTATAATTTGGATCAGGAGCTTCGATCGTCACCGGCACATAGTAAGATCTTTCCATTTACATAATCCTATCATATAATTTCATATCCAATCCATAACAAAAAATCTTAACTTTACAATCTTGGTAAAATTTTGCACAGACCTTATTTCTAATAGTTTATCTTTTATTAAACCTTACTTAAGACGCAACACATACTTAAATTATTCTTATATTCTATTAACTAAACTGAACCATTTAAGGTACTCATTTCTCTAATTTCTGTATTATTATTTCATTTTGTGTGTGGGTATATTTGCTCATATTCATATGCCAAAAACGCCTGCTGCAATACAATAGCAAATGCAATTCAAAGCAATACTTAATTTTGCTCCTTAACTTTGTCAGGCGCAACCTAAGTCAGGCGCAACTTATTTTTGCTCATAATCTCTTTACAGGCGTTATTGTCTTCCGTAGTCGACTTGTAACATTGCTCATCAACTCACGCCAGGAGTAAGAAACTTGTACCTGAAGCCAGCTTTGAGTAAACACGTCTTATTTCTTTACATATTTTACTTGGCTTTAGCTTCAATCACAATGTTTGGTGATAAAGATCCAACCATTGATGCAAAAATTAAAGAATTAATAAAGAAACGTGGTTCCATTAAAGCTAAGCTTACGCAATTCATAGGGTTCCTTAACACTTCTAAAAGCTGTCAACAGCTAAGCGACTCGCAACTAACTGAACTAGAAATTAGAATTGAAAGACTAGAAAACTCATTCACATTATACGATGATTTTCAGACCGAGCTAGAGATGTTATCGGAGAAAACTGACGAGCTGTATGCGGAGCGGGAGATATTCGAGAACAGCTACTATAGCGCAGTGGGTATAGCGCGAGAGCTGCTCACCCGGCACCGCAGGCAGCGCGACAAAGACGCCCAATCCGAGGTAAGCTCGTCTGATGCACGTACAGTGGTTAACCGGCAAAGCGTTAGATTACCTATAATAAATATACCTCACTTCAGTGGGGGCTTCAAGAATTGGCTCGAATTTAAAGACATTTATCTTTCCTTAATTCATGAAGATAAATCCATAGACGACATCACAAAATTTCATTACTTACGTACTTCGCTTCATGGAAGCGCAGCCGTAATAATTCAGAGCTTGGACTTCAGAGCTGACAATTATTTAACTGCATGGAATCTTCTTTGCGACAGATTTGATAACAATCAGTTATTGGTCAGTAATCACGTTCAAGCCCTCTTCAATATTGAACCGATACAAAAAGAGTCAAGTCAAGCTCTACGTCGAATCGTAGATGACACAAAGAAAAACTTAAGAGCTCTTGAAACCTTACAACAACCAGTTCAGCACTGGGACACATTGATTATACACATCATGGCTTCTAAATTAGATTCTGTAACTAGTAGGCAATGGGAAGAGCTTAGAAATTCTCTGAACGAAGCTCCTACTCTAGATATGTTCATAAAATTCATTAGTAACAGATCTAATCTTCTAGAAACGATAGAGGAGTCAAAATCTACAAAAGGTAAAGCAGAAACTTATTCTAATAAAGCAAAAAGCCTCGTTGCTACTTCCAACAGCAAAACTGACTACACTAAAGCCACCTGTCCAATGTGTAGTAAAGCTCATTACGTTTTCAGCTGCGAAACATTCAGGGCTCTACCAGTAGAGTCGCGCATAATTAAAGCTAAGGAATATAAAGTATGTCTTAATTGTCTACGACCGGGTCATACCGATGTTAAGTGTAGACTCAGTCACTGCAAATATTGTAAAGCTAAACATAACACTTTACTACATAAACATACTGAACCAAACTTTCCGCCTGAAACTGTAGCCTTATCAGCTTGTAACAGCACATCAAACTCATATCGTCATGTATTACTGTCCACAGCTCTGGTCAAAGCGTATGACAGCGACGGTAAGCCGCACAGTGCCAGAGTCTTATTGGACAATGGAAGTACGACGAATTTCATAACGCAGGATATGTGTCACAAGCTTAATTTATCAACACGTTCTATCATATCTAAGGTAACTGGCATCAACAACCAAGTCTCCGATACCACACGCTCGTGCTCTCTTATCATAGAGTCTTATGACGGTGGTTATAGAACGGACATTGACTGTTTCATAATGCCTAAAATTACTACTACTATACCAAATACATACATAAACACTCATGATATACCCTTACCTTCTGGAATTTGCTTAGCTGATCCGTCTTATAACGTCCCTTCCTCCATCGACTTACTTGTTGGAGCTGACATCTTTTGGAGTGTAATCGGTACTAACCGAATACAACTAGGCAATAATAACCCTGCGCTCATTGAGACCAAGCTTGGCTGGCTTATCTCTGGCGTCATACATCAACCAAGTCATACAAAATCAGTTTGTATGTTTATACAAAATACACAAACACCAATAGACATCACACGTTTCTGGGAACTTGATACCATACCTCCCAAGCATAATTACACAAAGGAAGAACGTACATGTGAACTAAGTTTCATAGAGACTACTAAACGAAAAAGTGATGGGCGTTTTATTGTTACCATTCCTCTCAAAGAATCTCCCGAAGCCCTAGGGAACTCGTATGAGATGGCTAAACGCAGATTTTTATCATTAGAGCGTAGACTAGATAGAGAGCCAACCTTCAAAAAACGTTATGTAGAGTTTATGGAGGAATATGAAGCTTTAGGTCACATGTGTGAAAACACACAACAGACAACTTCAACGAAGTCTTATTACTTACCTCATCATGGAGTTGTCAGAGAGTCGAGTATGACCACCAAACTTAGGGTCGTTTTCGATGCTTCTGCCGTAACAACCTCAGGTAAGTCCTTCAACTCAATACAGCTAGTAGGCCCTACTGTTCAAGATGACTTGCTCTCCATATTACTTCGATTTCGGCAGCATAAGATAGTCGTATCAGCCGACATCGAAAAGATGTACCGACAGATAGAGGTTGATCCACCACAGCGCACTCTACAACAAATATTGTGGAGAGCCGATCCATCACAGCGACTCAAAAGATACATCTTAAATACCGTAACTTATGGTACAGCATCCGCTCCTTTTTTGAGCACACGCTGTCTACTTCAGTTATCAAAAGACGCGTCAAATACACAAACGCAACAAGCAATTGCTCGCGACTTCTATGTAGACGACTTTTTGAGTGGCGCTGATTCGGTATCAGATACAATCGCCTTATGCCAGAGTGTCACAGACACTCTCTCATCTGCCAAGTTCAAACTTCGAAAGTGGCAGTCAAGTAACACAGAGGTTTTAGAGTGTATGTCAAACAGTGAGTGCTCTTCAAAACATGTTAATCTCAGTGCTAATGAGCTTTCAAAGACTTTAGGTCTTAATTGGCAATGTAATACAGACACACTTACCTTTTCAATTAATACATCCTTATACATAAACGATACTATTACCAAGCGTCACATACTATCTACGATTGCTCAGGTATTCGATCCTTTAGGACTTGTGTCCCCTTGTATAGTCGAAGCCAAAATTCTCATGCAAAAGTTGTGGATTGACAAATGTTCCTGGGATGATGAAGTCTCAGTTGACATTAAAAAATTGTGGTATGACTTTGCTCATTCTTTACCGCGCCTTAACAACACAAGCATTCCTAGACGGGTTATGTGTAACTCGCCACTATCTATACAACTACATATATTTACAGATGCATCAGAAAAGGCATACGGCGCTTGCGCGTATGTGCGGACCGTCGCTACTAATGGTTCAGTCACTGTCCGTCTCCTGACCTCCAAAAGTAAAGTCGCCCCCATTAAGCCGACAACTATGCCGCGCCTTGAGCTGTGTGGGGCATTGGTGGGAGCACGATTGTGTACAAAAGTTCTTGCTTCATTAACCATAAGGCCTGAGTGCATATTTTGGTGCGATTCCATGATAGTTTTGGGTTGGCTTGCCTCTTCGCCACTCCCATTAAAGCCTTTTGTACGTCATCGTGTGTGTGAGATACAGGAAGGTTTTAGAGAACATTCTTGGCGGTACGTGCCCTCCAAAGAAAACCCCGCAGACTTAGTCTCACGCGGACTAAGCGCTAACTTGATTAGCGACTCTACCTTGTGGTGGACAGGCCCTTCTTTTTTATTATCACCCTCTTCCTTCTGGCCTGAAACACCCAACAAAGAAAAGGTAATAGAATTACCTGACACCATTACCATGAAATCTCTTCACGCGACTGAAACCCACGACATCAATTCCATACAAAATTTAATTCAGGGATCGTCGAACTTCTCCCAACTTAAACGTGTAATGGCGTATGTCCTTCGTTTCATAACCAATAGTCGAAAAAGTCTTACAAAACGGCTTGGATGTCTTAAAACTTCAGAATTAAATGCTGCATCCAATTCTCTTCTACGCACCGCTCAGCGAGAGTCATTTCCTGTTGAGTATGAATTACTGAAGGTTGGAAAAAACTTACCAAAAAAGAACCGCCTTATTTCCCTGTCACCCTACTCAGACAATGGCATTATTCGAGTTGGTGGTAGGCTTGAAAACTCGTTCTATGACTACAACGTAAAACATCCCATTCTCATATGTAGTAAACATCATTTAACTAGACTAATTTTCAACTCGTTTCACTTACAGTTCTATCACGCGGGACCTCAACTTCTCCTAGCTTCAATTAGGCATACGTACTGGGCGTTAGGTGGTAGAAATCTGGCAAAAAAGACTGTACGCGCATGCATAAAGTGCGTCAGATTCAAAGCACAAACAGTGCAACCAATCATGGGCAACTTACCCAAGGAAAGATTACAATTAGAGTTTCCCTTCATTGACACAGGCACAGATTACGCCGGGCCAATTCTTTTAGCCGATCGCAAAGGTAGAGGCAGTAAACTTATCAAATCTTATATTTGTGTTTTTATCTGTCTAGCCACAAAAGCGGTGCATCTCGAGCTTGTTTCAGATTTGACTAAGGAAGCGTTCATTGCAGCTCTTAACCGTTTCACGGCTCGTCGGGGCAAACCGAGGAACATCTACTCAGACAACGGTACCACGTTCGTAGGGTCCTTTAACGAACTTTCCAATATTCTGAAACAAGACCTTTCTCTTGAAATGGCAGACTCGGGTATAAACTTTTCATTTATTCCAGCGTACACTCCACACTTCGGTGGCTTATGGGAGTCGGCTGTTAAGTCCATAAAGCATCACCTAAGACGTATTTTAGGTCTTACCCATTTGACCTACGAGGAAATGAGTACATGCCTTATTCAGGTCGAAGCAATATTGAACTCCAGGCCTCTTACACCCCTTTCCAACGATCCTTGTGACCTTACTCCTCTTACTCCTGCCCACTTCCTTGTTGGAAGATCTCTAATGTGCGTGCCTCATCCGCAGATCTGCAATGCGAAGATCACCAGCCTTCAGAGGTTTCAGCGAGTAGAATACTTAAAACAACATTTCTGGAACCGGTTTTCTAATGAATATATTTCCTCGCTCCAACAGAGAACCAAATGGCATCATTCCACAGGGCAGCTAGAGCAAGGAGCATTAGTCATCGTAAAGGAGAAGAATCTTCCTCCCCTAATGTGGCTGCTCGGTCGCATCGTGCATCTTGTGCCTGGTAGAGACGGCATAGCTCGAGTAGCCGACGTCAAGACGAAGAAGGGCACCATCCGTCGGGCTTATAACATGCTATGTCCGCTCCCGATCAAATCATTTGAACCTGAATCTTCATCTTCAACGCCGGGAGTATATGGTTCCACCATCGATCAAACGCCGGCTAAATAAATCCACCCCCGGGTCTGCAAGGGGCACGCGGGGTGTTGGGGGGTCACGCGAATGACGGAATTCGCGATTCTCGCCGCGCGCGCGTTGGGCACTGCGACTCGGAACGACGGCGGAACGAATTGTGCGCGCGAGTACCTACTTTCTTTTTAATACAATAAGTGTAATACAGTTCGCTAGTTTTATTCAACTGGATACCCCTTGTAAGCGATAGGGCTCTAGTTCCCACTAGCCATCGAGTATTGCTTGTAGCTTGTCACTGAAAAAACATAGATTTATTGGATATACTAAATCTATGTGAAAAAATTACTATCAAACGTAAGTAATATTCGATCAAATGAAAAGATGCATGATGCGAATGAAACTTCATAGTTCACATTGTGTATGATTTGGTCGAGTATTACTTAATTGGGAGTAATTGTTTCGGACGGATGTCGGATATAGAACGGGAGTAGACTAGACCCCCTGAGCATTTATGATGTCAAATGCTGGCTTTACTTTTTATTAAGGAAAAGATTTCGATAATGATTTGTTTATTACTCTATAAATCCTCCATTTTTAACCGACTTCAAAAAAAGGAGGAACCTCCTCCTCAGTTCGACTGTATGTTTTTTTGTATGTATGTTACGCGATAACTCCGGTATTGGTAAACCGATTTTCATGATTCTTTTTTTGTTGTAAAGAGGGTACCTCCATAGTGGTCCCATTTAATTTTGAAGAAAATCATCCACCTCTAAGGGTGGTTGATCACGCATAAACATTCATTTTTATATACAGCGCCTTAAAATTAAAGCAATTATTTTAATGGTTGATTTTGCTATTCTCCAATTCAAGGCGCTTTTCTCTCAATATAAATTGAGTAGTAAAAACTATTATCTCCTATTTCAAGACTCGTATAGTGGCAAACTAGGAGATATTTTAATAAAACTTGGCAAATAGACGTAATTCCACATACTTTTGAGGTCGGTTTTTTAGTACTCTGTACCGAGATTATAATTTGTCAATAAATCACGCCCGTAATCCCTGACTAGACTCTTGAGGTGGAATTTGCGATCAAAAATGAAACGTGATTATTTATCTACCTACTGACTATTAAATTACCTACCCCGACATAGTATATTTGATAAATATACAGGGTGTAACAGCAAGGTGTAGTCATATTTGAAGGTCGGATTCAGTTAATGGTATGAAACTATTTAGAAAGTTGTTTTAGTACAAACTACGTTATTTATGGAAATTTCGCCATGAACAGTTTCGATCAGCTGATGTCATTTAACGAAAATAAATAGTCACATCACATCTCTATTGAGTATCAGAATACAACCAAATTACGTAACTTGAAAAAATTGTGAAATTCAGGCATGTTATTGTAAATGATAAAGTACTTAATGCCATATTCTTATTACTATGTTATAATTTACTAAATTTATTATTATTTTATTCATGTAATATGCGTGTGAACATTTAATGAAAAATAAATATTATCGATTACTTTGCCAAAATACACTAGTTCATAATAAAACTATTATTTAAAACTTAGTACATAATAACGTAATATGGTTTCGTTAACTTCATATCTTCAAACATACAAAATACACAAATTTCCATTTAATATCCATTAATAAAACTAATGTCCTCTAAAAAACACATATTTAAAGTTATCTCTGTTTCTTTTTACCATATCATATGTAATAATACGCATTCATCTATTGTATTTTAAATGAATGAAATTTGTCTCTTTCTATCCGTCGGTACTGTTCTAACGCATGGCGGCTAGCGAATCAGTCGGTATGTTTCTTCTAACGCATGACGCAATATGACGCAATTATCCGACTAATACTTCGCACCCTTACAATGAAAGCGACCCAAATCAAAAAATTAAAAAATGAGTTTATACCGTAAAACCATCTTAAAAAAATATTTTGTTACATTAGTCACACTGTGGTGAAGATGAAATTGTGCAATTAAAGCTCGAATAGCACTGATTCATAAAGGTCCCTTTCATTTTGTTCTTTCAGTTTAAAAATTCTACTCCCGCGTCGAAATATTAACGCCGCATTTATTGTTGAATCTGCATTTGCAAAGACAACACGCTGCCACTGACGGATTAGCATTTGAGCCATTTTCGTTCCGAAAATCATATTCAAAAATCACTAGTAGCAGTAGAGCTCCTTGTGAGTTCGTCCAGGGTAGTACTGCCACATTACCGTGTTACAGTTTTGAAGGGTAAGGGTGCTGGTGAAATTACAGGCACATGGGACTTGTCAACTATGTCTCAGAGAGATGGACGCCGTAGCAGTAGCCTTCGAGCGGCAGTGCTACTGTTATGGACAGGCGTGACGCTTTCCACCGGGTACACGACTTGTTCGACCCGTCGCTTAATATTTAAAAAAAAAATATTTTTTTAGTAACTTACTTTTTAAAGGGACTTACTTTTTTGTTTCGTGGACTTTCTTCTTTTTTAATTGTGAAACAGGGACCACAAAACAATATCAAGGGTTTTGACATCTTGCTTAGCTGATGAACATTAAAAAGACTTAATTCTTAATACGTTAAATGATAACAAAAAAATCGTTAAAAAAAAGACCTATTGGCGACTAGTTTTTGTAAATTGTGTTTTTAAATTGTTGAACATTAAAATGATCAGAAACAATTTTCAGTTGTAAAGTTCCATTTTTCCTCATTATTTTCAAAGACTAATAAGGCCATCACCTTTAGTACTTCAAGAGTAGGTAATAAATAAAATAATATGAAAATATGAAAAAACTTGAAATCTTATTTTCTTTTTTATTCCCAAAAAGTTGAAATTTTGTATTGGGACACTTTCATCCTAAAGGTGCAACCTGAAGGTCGGTAAACGTCAAGAAATTAGTTTTGATCGTTGACCACGAATTAATTATTGTAATTTTAATTTAATTTAATTTTTTTTTATGATTGATTTAGTGTCTGTTTAAGTATATCTAAATGTTTTAAAATGAATGTTGAGCACAGTAATAATTGGGCACAGATATGCCTGTTGTATTAATTTTTAAGTGTTTTTATTTTCCTCACTTTCTGTATCTGATGTCTGTACATTGTGCCATAAATAAAAAATAAAAAATAAAAATAAAATAAATTTTCATCACTTGCTTGGAAATGAAAATATCGTGAGAAAACTTGGATTTCGGAGATAATTGCCGAAATCTTCAAAGATGCGAGAATGTCAAGTTTCCAACCAGTACTTACTATGCAAGTGCAGTGGACTAAACCTTGTGCAAAAAATAGTACTTTACTAACTTACATACGTCTATTGCTGAGCGCACGTTTCTAACAACAGGCTTACGCTTAATTTGACTTATCTACACACGACAACTTTCTGGGTATGGGTTTATTACATGGTGAAATTGAAATAATTAATATCCGTTGAACCTATTAAGGTTCTTACTTCCTAATAATATCTACTCATCTAAAGAAATATTTTAGAATAGTTTAAATTAGCAATAGTGTAAAACCATAAAAAATCTTACCTAAATAAACAAAGTATCAAGATTAGTCGCCTTGCGTACGCGATACGTAATCGTAGCGAAGTCGCAAGCCTTTGGCGGCAACTTTGGCGGCAAAAATATCACCTTTGATTTTCGCCGCCAGCATTTGATTTTATACATCGTGATGTGGAGTAGTGGTTAATGTTAGACTCGTTTCGGAGGTCGTGGATTCGATTCTCATAGTTGACTGGCTCTATGGGGTAGTTGTTAGAGTGTTAGGTTTTCTTTGCGGATGTCGTAGATTTGATTCCCATAGTCGACTGCCTCCATAGTCTAGTGGTTAGAGCGTTAGGCTTTCTTTTCGGAAGTCGTGGATTTGATTCCCATAGTCGACTGCCTCTATGGTGTAGTGGTTAGAGTGTTAGGCTTTCGTTTCGGCGGTTGTGGATTTGATTCCCATAGTCGACTGCCTCCATGGTGTAGTGGTTAGTGTTAGGCTTTGTTTTCGGAGGTCGTGGATTTGATTCCTATAGTCGACTGCCTCCATGGTGTAGTGGTTAGAGTGTTAGGCTTTCGTTTCGGAGGTCGTGGATTTGATTCCTATAGTCGACTGCCTCCATGGTGTAGTGGTTAGTGTGTTAGGCTTTCGTTTCGGACGTCGTGAGTTTCCGATGGGTGACTGCCTCCTTAGTGCAGTATATCCGTAATCACTCAGTCAGTTCTTGCGTTGTGTGGAAGTGGTACGGGTGATGGTCAGAGCTTGTTTACAAACAAAGGCGTATGCAGTGCAACGTTGAAGGTCGTAGACGTAGGATATAGGTATTCGTTTAATGTGTATGTAATGATGTAATTTGTATCAGGAGAAGGGTCTTATTTTAAAAGGATGGTAATAATTTTAATTTCATCCTGTAGGTACATTATGAAAACGTTACCCTATATTCCAAAATTTGCGTTTCAGTCGGCGTCCTTTGATGTGCCGCCGCTGAGGCAGAGGCGCTATTTTTTAATTTTTTGTAACAGTCTGTAATTGCCGTTTGCGTTGTGAGGACTAAATAGGTGTCATCGTTTTGTTTGTGTCTTGTTTTTGTGTTTATTTAAACTATGTCACGCTTAAGCAATAGTGATTACTAAGAGATGATGTTGTGCGTAGGCGCAGCCGATGGGAGCTTGCGCCAGCCTCGCCAAATTTATTGGGCAAAGTTTATTGATGGCGTCCCAGAAAATCGACGTCGACCATTTCCTGCTGTGGAATGCTTCAGGAAGATGGTTATGAGACTTCATAATAGTGGATCGTTCCGTGGTTCCAGTTCTGAAGGCCGGCCGAGTTCACGAGACCCAGAATTCGAGGCAGATGTTTTGGAACATTTTCTCGGCAATCCAAAGACAAGTACTCGTCGTGCTGCGGCAGCCTTTGGTGGTGTGAACCATATGAGTGTGTGGCGTGTGCTACGGGATGATGGCCAGCACCCATACCATTTTCAAAGAATGCAGGAGCTGTTACAAGCGGACTATGATCTACGTTTGGCATTTTGCCGCTGGTACCGCGACCAGGTTGGGAGGTCTCCCGACTTCGCTTCGTCGGTACTGTGGACAGACGACGCGTCATTTACGCGTGCGGGCATTATCAATATGCATAATGAACATTTTTGGACTCATTTGAATCCCCGCGTATCAAGGGAATCAAATTTTCAACACCAGTGGCGGATTAACGTGTTGGCTGGTATAATAGGTTG